ATGCAATGCAACGCGTAAAAAGACAGTACAAGTCATTATAATCAGTAATTATGTCCCACTGGATGCAACAAATGCCTCGTTTGTAATGGGTTTTATTGGTTTTGTCTCGCCGTGCCGGCAGACGGCATCACAGTGTGTTAAGGGGCGTAACATTTCCGTCACACGCTTGAGGTATTCGGCCAATCACAATGCACTGGATAGCTGGCCAATCAGCGTACACCTCGCTTTTTTTAAAATTTTTTTTATTAAGAACATTATATAGACAAAGATAAAAGCAGTCACAATGTAGAACAAAAACAAAAGAAAAGACTACAGGGTACAAGACAGGGGTATAGAACTAATCACAAAAGTTCACAAAGGAAAAGATTAAAAGACTTACAAATTTCAATTGTTTTTAAAGCCTTCTTGTTACACGAGTTAAAGATAGTCCCAAAGTAATGCTGCAATTCAGCAAGCAAAACATAAAAAAGTGGTTTTTGACCTGAAAATTTACATTTATATATATAAAATTTTGTTAATAAAATAAGAAGATTAAGTATATTTTGTTTTTCAGTAAATGTTCTTTTTTCCAATTAACAATTCCAAACAAAACATTTTCCCAAAGTAAAGAAAAATCCTTATCAATGTTCTCAGTAACAAATAGGGAAAAGTCTTTCCACAATCATTTAGAGTAATGGCAAAGCCAAAATAAATGCACAATAGTCTCTGGGTGCTGTTTGCAAAAAGAACAATTTGTATCAATATCTTTTTTGAATTTCTTTAAGAAGGTATTAACAGGATATACACGATGGACAATACGAAAGGAAACTTCTCTTATCTTATTAGTAATTAAGTAACTATTTGGAATCAGCCAAATTTTCCTCCAGGCAATATCAAAAACAAAGGCATTCCAATAAACTGTCACATTTGGAATTGAAACATTTTCCTTGAGAAATAATAAACGTATTGATCTATTAGAAGAAGTGGATGAAAAGCAATATTTCCCCACCATTGTAACAGCAGGGTCTAAAGAAGGTAAAATAGAAGGGTAGGGGATACGTAGAACTAATCACAAAAGTTCACAAAGGAAAAGATTAAAAGACTTACAAATTTCAATTGTTTTTAAAGCCTTCGAGTTAAAGATAGTCCCAAAGTAATGCTGCAATTCAGCAAGCAAAACATAAAAAAAAAGTGTTTTTTGCCCTGAAAATTATGTATATACAATTTTGTTAATAAAATAAGATTATGTATATTTTGTTTTTCAGTAAAATGTCCTTTTTTCCAATTAACAATTCCAAACAAAACATTTTCCCAAAGTAAAGAAAAATCCTTATCAATGTTCTCAGTAACAAATAGGGAAAAGTCTTTCCACAATCATTTAGAGTAATGGCAAAGCCAAAATAAATGCACAATAGTCTCTGGGTGCTGTTTTCAAAAAGAACAATTTGTATCAATACCTTTTTGAATTTCTTTAAGGTATTAACAGGATATACACGATGGACAATACGAATGGAAACTTCTCTTACCTTCAGCCAAATTTTCCTCCAGGCAATATCAAAAACAAAGGCATTCCAATAAACTGTCACATTTGGAATTGAAACATTTTCCTTGAGAAATAATAAACGTATTGATCTATTAGAAGAAGATGAAAAGCAGTATTTCCCCACCATTGTAACAGCAGGGTCTAAAGAAGGTAAAATAGAGGGTTAGGGGATATGAAACGTATTGATCTATTAGAAGTGGATGAAAAGCAGTATTTCCCCACCATTGTAACAGCAGGGTCTAAAGAAGGTAAAATAGAGGGTTAGGGGATATGCTGAAATAGTCTAAGAACTCCAGATGGTATGGCATCGAATACAATAGCAAATTCTTTAAGGGTAATAGGAATGTTAAAATGATGAAGACATTCCTCAGTTTAATAAAAGGCCATTTGCATTAAATAATTGACTTACAAGCAAAATATCTGCCTCAAACCAGCGCTGGAAGAAAAGAGATCTGTTTTTATATAGAATATCTCTGTTATTCCATATAAAATATTTATAAGGAGAAAAGTTGTGCTTGTACAGAAGAGACCAGGCGAGAAGGACCTGCTTATGGAATTTAGATAATTTAGCTGGTATTTTTTCAACATCATAATTACAAAGCAATACAAAATTAAATCCACCAAATTTGGAGAAAATATATTGTGGAATAAAGTTCCAGACTAAGGTTGGATTTTTGAGAAAGTGTTTGGCCCAATTAATTTTAAGAGTATTATCAAATGTGCAAAAATCTAACATATTGAGACCACCATTTTCATATGTATTCAAAACAACAGATTTCTTGATATAATGTATGCCATTTTTCCATATGAATTTAAATAACATTGTCAATACTTTTGAGAATGTTGTTATCAACATGGAGAGACTGAGAAGCATATGATAATCTGGAGATTCCCTCCCCTTTGGCAAGTAATATTCTTCCCCTCAGAGATAAGTCTCTCTGCAGCCATAAATTAAATTTTGTTTGTGTTTTCTCAATAATTGGGGAAAAATTGAATACACATCTATCATTTTTATTTTTACATATAGAGATACCTAAATAAGATATCTTATCTTTAATTGGAATATTTTTAGTTGTAGAAAGGTTGCACTCTTTAATTGAAAGTAGTTCACGTTTAGACAAATAAAAAAAATAAAAAAATAAAAAAAGACCAGAAGCTTTAGAAAATCTTTCAACAGTGCGGATTGCAATAGGGACCCAAGAGGCATCTTTAAAAAAAAAAACAAAAAAAAAGGGAGTTGTATCATCTGCTAATTGGCTGATCTTTATTTCTCTTTCTGCAATGAGTATCCCTTTCTAGGTACTTTTATTAATATAGTGTGAATACACCTCGCTTTTCAGAACGATGAGCTTTGTAAAAATCGACGCGTTTCAGAAATGCGGGGCATAGAGGAGCAACAATAATGTACATTGTGGAATATAATGTGTTTTTTAAACTTTAAACCGCATAAACACATTGCATTACACCAAATACACAACATAATGTTCTTTTTAGCAACGTCATATGACCCCTTTAAGGTTTTTCCACGACGGTGGCAACCCTACAGAGTTTATTGTGAAGTGCTTCGATCATCCCTTCCGTTTGAAATGATAAACTCATAAAAATCCGAAAATCTTTACATTTGTAAAACAAAAAAAACGAAATTAAACTAAACATTACTCCAATACGTTTACGTTACACTGAGCGGAGTTTAGAGCACAGCACAATGATAATCTGAAAAGCTAACTCCTTAACGCAAAAACCGTGCAATAAAGAATCCACAAACATATCTATAACGTGAAATTACACTTATTACATTTCATCGACTTTAAAATTGAAACTTACCCTTGTTTTTCCACACCGCACAGTCTGATAAAATCGGACTATCCTTTGCTTTGTTTCTTGTGGCTGTTTGAATTTGGTGGACCGCTCCCTGTGGAAGAGAGACTCGCCCACTGTGTCCCGTTTCCCCACACTGATTGGCCGAACGTGCCGTTGCGTCGCATTCGAAATGTGACGCAACGCGCGGTTCTTTGTTTTGGAACGCTTGCATTGTTATGATCAACTCTTTTCATTGAGCCCAATTTTAACTGTTAATTCCAGAAATACCCAACCTTATTATGAATAAACTAACTAGGAGTCTTCTAAAATGTATAATATGCCCAAAATATCCCCAAAACTGTTGTGATTTATTTATTTTTGACGTTCTAAATCAGGGTTCCTCAAATCTTGCCCTTGAGGGGCAATGCGCTGCAGAGTTTAGCTCCAACCCTGATCAAACTCACCTACCTGTGATTTTCTTATGATCCTGAAGACATTGATTAGCATGCTCAGCTGTGTTTGATTAGGGTTAGAGCTAAACTGTGGGCCAGATTTGAAGATCCCTGTTCTAAAGCATTTGCTTATCTAGCCCAGTGGTTCCCAGCCCTGGTGCTGGAGGCACCCCAACACTGCATATTTTGCATGTCTCCTTTCTCTTACCAATTTCAGGTCTTGGAGTCTCTACTAATGAGCTGATGACCTGAATCAGGTGTGTTTGATTAAGGAGACATGCAAAACGTGCAGTGCCTTCAGGACCAGGGTTGGGAACCACTGATCTAGCCAACTGAAAAACTCAAATTAGGTTTGCTCAAGAAATCTGTAATTACATTTTTATTTGTCTCAGCATTTAACTTGACATGCAATGTACAAAGCAAACAGTGAAAATAGCCTACCTAAACCTCATTAGAATAAAATGGAACATTTCTTTATGATTACAACCACATATTGCTTATGATCTGAGTGGACAGTTAAAGGTTAATGACTTCTAGGTACATTTAACAGGCCAATTTTTACAATAAAAATCTTGCCCTTGAGAATGTAAAATATCCTGCAATTCACTTTAATGAGATTATTTTACTGTGTCTCTAATAACAAATGCAGCCATCAATCTAGGAGTGCCTTTGCTGGCTCAGAGACAAAGTATAATGTATTTTTTAGTGCAATTGCTCAATAACATTGGAATCTGAGAAGAAACACACAATGAAATCATCAACAACAACAACAAAAATCACAATAAAGTGTTGTTTAACAGACATCTTTTCACATTCTAATTTAGCAATAACAAAACAAAGGGGCTAAGCAGGAATGAAAGGAGGTGTTTGTTTTTGAATTACTAATTTATATTTAAGAGTGGTGTCCCATTTGCCAGTCCAGTAATGGTTATTTGAGTTCCAGTCTGATCTTCTCCATGCTCAACATCTCAAATAGCTGTGGTTTGAATTCTTGAGAATTCTAATTCCATGTGCAGATGTTCAATTTGGTTTAATGCACTATAGGACACCAAAAAGACAAAGCCTTTTTAATTGTTTTAATAGTTTTAGGCTAAAAAAAAATCATGATCAATTAATCAATCAAAAATCTATTTTAATCATAATCATAAATGAAGCTGACTTACTTTAATAATTTTATTCCTCCTAGAAATGAGTGCAAATACAATTGTGCATAAAACCACCACCACTCCAGCAATTGTGGGTCCTACAGGGAACCTTAAAACTTTATCTAATAGAGAAGAAAATTAAATATACCTTTCAAAAATTGAACATAAATTATAAAAGTAAAACAGAGTACAAAAAGTCAAAGTTCAAATAAGGATAAAACAGGACCACAAACCTTCAACCGTAACATTAAAGGTCCTGCCCATAATTCCATAGACAGATGAATTTACTTCACAGATGTACGTTCCTTGATGTACATCGCGCTTAGCTTTTGTGATTGATAACTGAGCAGTAATGCCATTATTGGTTGTTTTGTAACTGCCAGAGGTCAGATCCAGAACTTCACCATCCTTTTTCCAAGCCACAGTTACAGGTGGGTTGGCACGGACATCACAAGACAGAACAACATCACTTGTTTCTTCAACAAATACTTCCTTAGTGTCATTAAGGTCTGGGGGATCTGTAATATAATGGCATTCAAAGCTGAAAAACCAACAAATTTTCACCAGCCACTCGCATATTGCAGCAGTATATTCATCACAAGAGTTTGGCTCAGTTCCATTCCAGTTTATTTTTGAGGAATATTCCAGATTCCAATCCAAGGCCCATTTAAAGATTTACAGTTAGTTTAAAACACTTACATTGATAACTAATTAAAAGCATTTTTATTGTTTAAACTGTAAAACTGTTTAGGGTTTGGAGGCCCATTGTCATCGCAATGAAGTTATAAAAATGGATATAACATTGGATTCCTTAATATATAACATTATAACAGTGTACATTTAATGAAAATAGATTCCTTGTGGAGTTCCTGCTGAAACTGCTGAACGGAAATGAAATGGATCCCAAACCTGCCAGTTGACCCTTCAAAATGTTTACTTTTTCCACCAAGTATTCTAAACATTAAACTTACACTGGACGTCAAACTCGATGGAGCTGTTCACACTTGCATCACCCTTCAGCTGACAGATAAAGACAACTCCGTTGTCCTCTTTAGTGACAGGCTGTACACAAAGACTACTTCGGGACCAGCGGTTTTCTTCTGCCAGGTTCACCCGGGCACCATTGCGGAACCACTGCAATTCATTTTGGTTGGATGGGTCAATACCTTCATCAGTAATGCAAGTCAGAGTGAGAGTTTTCTCAACCTCTGTCCGAAGCAAGTTCCCGGTGGCCAGTGGACATGACTCAATGGTGACTGCTGTTTAGAGAGAATTAACTATTGAGCAATTCGTTCAGGCATAACAAACTAAAACTGTTGCAGTACAGGTTAATACCCTGTATATGTCCTATAATAATACTCAGGTTAATACTCTACAGGTTAAAACACTCTTTCTGTTTTGATATACTGAACAACATTTGGTGAAATGTTAGAACAAGCAGTATTTGGATCTCCTTGGAAGCATCAGGCTTTGAAAACATGTAGTAACATTACCTTTTACACGACAGACAAAGCACAGCAGGAGCAGAGAAACACTAACCGATACTTTCATCTTTGTACATCTGCCAGATATCCTGAATGACAAAAATACATCTAAAAAAGTCTGGAAAAATATATGAAAGATTTATGGAAATTTTCTTCAACTGAATTCATATTTTGCCAGAAATATTTAAGAAAATAATCTTAAACTCTGGATCCTATTGACTTCCACCGTATATATAAAAAAACAAAAAAAAAACAAAAGAAATCTTATGTGTTCCATCAAAGAAAAAAAAATCATACAGGTTTTGGACGACACCACGGTAAGTAAATGATGGCAAGATTTTACATTTTTCAGTATACACTATGCTTTTAATAATTTCTGTTCCTTGAAAGTCCTTGAATCATTTGATTTTATTAACAGAATATATGAAATCTTAAATGCGTTCTCAGAAATTCAGAGCCCCTTTTCAGTACCGTTTACTTACCAAAGCTTTGTGCGACAGTTCTCTGGAAAATGCCAAATCCAAAGGTTGCGTGAATTCTGGAGAGGCTTGTGTCTTCACACCAATGCTTTATATTATGTGGCTTTACAGCACTTAACAGGAATTGAAATCACCTCCCCTCACGGTCACAGACCTTTTAGTGTTGTGCAAAAATAGGCTGAATGGCTTTTAAGTGTCATCTCAATCTCCCCAGAAGGAATGGGAAGGATGAAAAGAGAGAAATCCTATAAAGATATAGTCTCACATCCATAAAACATTTGTGATAAGAGAATTTAATGTTCTATAATGGATGGCAATGCCAAAAGCATTGAATATAAAAATATATGTCCCAACCCAAAATGAATCATACATTCCTTTAGTGTTTATATGTGATATCTGTGTTGAGTGAAGGTGACACAGGGCAATGATTTTTTGGACATGTACAGCAAATAATGATACAGTAATACAAATCTGATACAAAATACTATTATCTTAAGTAACATTCTATACTGTATATAATGGCATAGCTGTTAACAACCAGATGGTTTAAACTGAATTAATAGTTGTTACAAAATTATATAACAATTCTTTTTTCTAGTGCATGTTGTAGGTTACACATTTTGCCCCAATTTGAAAACAAAACATGTATTATGCGGTTTACATAATATAATGATGGGCGGGCACGGATTATTATCCACCAGAGGGCCTAGTTTGACCATTGTAAACTAATGATGTTAATTATCAAATTAAAATTTGACTGATGTCTCTCTCTCTCTCTCTCTCTCTCTCTCTCTCTCTCTCTCACACACACACACACGCACGCACGCACGCACTCACACACACACACACACACACGCACAAATAATACTAAGATCAAGTTCACTTGATTACACACAATACAAGTCTATATTAATTATACAAGTTCAGATGAAAAAAGAGCACTTAAGCTCTTACAAGATTGTGTTAAACCAAGTTATTCATCATGATTTGAGAATGATAAAAAGAGCATCTTCAAAGGAGGCAGGAACATGTGACCCTCTGTACAGAGTCACATGATCAGTGTCAATAATTTGCTTGTTTGATTAGTGACCTAGAAATAGTACAGAATCTTTAATAATTCCTTTTCTCTTTAAGTCAACGTGTGTTTGTTTGTGCTTTAAACTCTTCAAGTCAGTTTTAAATTTAACTTTCTGATTGTCACACTTTCAGTATATTTCCCACTGTATGTATTGATCTTTTTTTGTGTGTGATTTTTTTGATTATGGCTGAAACAGAACAGAAACCTCATAACCAATAGTAATAATTCTTTAAGAGTAATTGCTGTCATGAACCTTTGTCTTTTTGTCATAACATATAAAACTGTATTTATGTTTGAACAGCGGCAATATGCACTGTAGAATACCGTTAATGAAACAACCTCAAAGGTTGATGAATGAGCATTCAGAGGAAAGAATTTGAGAACTTGTCAAAAGAGACATTATTACACATCCATAACCACATAGTTGACTGTCTTTGCTTAAAAATGTGAGTGTATTCATGTCAGTTCATACTATACACAATGTACTGTATGTATGCATTTGTGCATACTGTATGTGGCATGCATGTGTAAGAGAAGATAAACTGTTTTATTGCATGTTAGTGACTTTCATTCCGTCTATTCCCCTCCCATTCCGCCTTTCAGTCTTCAGCATTTCTTACGGCATATCAGATAAGACATGGATAACTTGCACAGGAAAGGCTAAAGGTTGTTTTAATTTGCTACCCATAGAGATGTACACACATACTGTACATTACATGACTTAAAACTCACAAATAAAGACTTTTTGAACATTTTGTACGTTAGATCCTAACATGCAGAATATTAAATATTTCTTTACATACAATAATTTAACATTTCTTTTTTTCTTTTTCAAAAATTCTTAAAGCAGTTTTATTATTAATATTATATCTTATTACATTATGAATCTTTGTTCAGCAACAAAAATTTAGTTGTAATCATATTTGAACACACTTTTTTGACTAGTTACAAAAAGTCTAGTTTATTGAATAAACAGCTCAGGTTGTGCAAGACTTAGGTTGACAGAGGTTAAGCATTACTGTTTAACCGAATGGGCAAGTTAATGACCAAAGGTTGTGTTTGATATGCCAACCATGACTCCTCGTGCTGGAGATCCATGGCAAGCTACCAAGAGGTAATGTGCCAGTATATTACAAATAGTGATATTTAGGTGATCTGAATGATTTAGGTCAGTTTGCCAAACATTAAAACACATTTTTCTCTTTGCACAAGAGCTAAACAAACACTTTCTAACAAATATTATCCTTGTGGGATTCAAACCTAAACAGTCTAGACGTGGTTTAGCAAGTAAAATAAGTAAAATAAAATAAAATACTTTACTTAACTCCAAGTTTACAAGTTAAAGGCCTCTTTAGGGATCATCTGTCCCAAAGTAAAGCTTTTCCTGCTCATTATGCTACATTAAGAAACCTGACAACTTAGAAAGCAATGCTCTAGCATGGGTTCCTCAAAGGAACAACAATCTGTTATTTACACAGGCATTCCTGATAAGATTACCGCTGCGTTTAAGAAGTATGAAAGGCTAACCCGCCCCTTACAGCCCCCCTCAGAGCTGCTGTACTCCATACAGGGAATTATAAAGAGCTTGCTTGTGACCTGCCTCTCTTGGGCTCCCTCAGTGACTGAAGGCAGCAGGTTATTTAATCAGTGTCTCAGCACTATTTGATTTGATTGTTTCTGCCTCCATGGACTGATAACAACATTTTTGGAAAAATCACTGCTGGAGAGAAGCGGTCTCATTCCTATATCGCTTCTATTATTTTCTCTGTCTCACTCTCTCTTCATCCTTTTCTCTTATTTTCTTGCACTCAACGGCTGAATGGATAAAGCTGGGATGCCTGAGGCTTGCGGTCCCCTGGCAAGCCATGAACAAATCACCGAGGCAACAGCACCTAGTTCTAAACTCTTCCGCTGCAACTGTGTGCGTCGCTGGGTTCCCCTGGCCTACAGAGAGGAGCTCTACCACGTTCTGCGCCTGTCCGGGCCCCTGGTGAGTCCTCTTTTTGTTCCATGTCTCTCTCATGTATCCACAAATGCTGCAACTCACTTGAAACTTTAAATACAAAAGCTGTTCCAGCTGAGACTGGTTCTGGGGTGATGGTTGGTTTTTCACCTATGCCTGTAACTTAAGTTAGTGTTGGAGTTAGTATAATTATTTTATAATTGATGAGGATGTAAATGATGGCTCCTGTTTTATAGTTGTGAAGAGTGCTTGTCTGACTGTCAAACTGAATTCCTGTGGTCTGTCCCTCACTTTCGGTTATTAATTCTAGATAAAGAATTTTTGTAATCCTTCTATTTCATCCTAGTTAGGTGTCTGTGTACTCAAACAAACAAACAAACAAATAAATAAATAAATTAACCAATAAAAAAATACCCACATATAAAACATATACCCACACATGTACAATACATAGATTGATTTTTTTGTATTTATTTTAAAAGTGGAATTGTTTTTCCATATATATGAAATTTATTTTTTGTATTTATTTCATACTAAAACTAATATTGGTTTTGTTGAGCATAATCTGGAGTTCAAATAGTCTACTGTAGGATTCTTACATGATGCAGATCTGTGAACGTGTCTGTTTTTTTTTTTTTTTTGTATGCTCATGTTCCCTGTTGATATCTGCATTTTCATCTTCCACAGCTCATCTCCAGGATCCTAAACTTCCTACTGCCATTCGTCATCACGATATTCTGCGGTCACCTAGGAAATGCTGAATTGGCTGGATATGCCTTGGCCTCTGCGGTAATTCATCCACCATCTAATGGAGCTGTCAGAAAAAAAATGTGCAAAAACTGTACCTTGAGAGGTACAAAAGATTGCCAATGGGGCAGTACTTTCAAATAATAGAATAGAATAACATAATAGATTTTTAGGCCCCACTTTATATTAAGTGGCCTTAACTACTATGTACTTACATCAAAAATTAAGTACAATGTACTTATTGTGTTCATGTTGTATTGCAAAACACTTTTGCTGCTATTGAGGTGGGATATGGGTAAGGTTAGGGACAGGTTTGTTGGTATGGGTAGGTTTAAGGGTGGGTTAATTGTCATTGTTAAAAGGAACAATGAAAATGCACACTTTTGTACCTTATCTACCCTGAAGGATTGTATATTAGTACCATAATTGTCCTGAAATTCAGTAAATTCAGTACAGAATTGAAGGTAATGCCCCAGTGACAGTGACAAGTACAGTTTTTCTATCAGTTTACTTACATTTTAATTTTATTTTATGACATTACTTTCATTTGTTACATCTCTCTGATAATAAAATATATGATTATATTAAAAATGTTAAAATCCTTCTGACGCTAATGACCCTCATACATTTCACTGAAAAATCTAAAGCCTCAGTATCTTGTCATATCTGTTTTTTGGACACCAATTTCCTATTTCAAGGAGTGCTTTGGAAGTTGATCCAGTCGAAAATCCAATATCTGTATCTCCAAGAAGGAAGCAGTGAGAGATAAGGAGACAGTGTTTGGTAATTGCACTGCTAAATCATCATTTGTCTCCCTCAGACTATTAATGTGACCACAACAGCCACAGGATGCGGTCTGGCCCTCGCATGTGACACACTTGTCTCTCAGGTAGTCTTAACTGATGATGACTTAAACATGGTTAAAGTAATGATATGTATTGCCCTGCCAGCAGACATGCTCAGTAACCCATTGTTTGTATAATACCCTCAAAACCCAGTTTTTAGGTGGTTGTATTTCTGACATTGGCAGGTTGTGCAGTGAGAGATCAAACAATTTACTTATTTATTATTATTTTTGAGCATTTATTAATATCTCCCACTATTAAAATCTCAACCAACATGCAAAATATCTTAGCCAACATGTAACTTAATACTACTGTGGTACTGTGGCAGTACCATGGGTGTGTTGTGGTATCTGATGTAATATCATTAATTACATACCATTGTTTAACAATTATCATGACCCTATTTCCCATATACAGTACAATGGAGTACCATAGTTTACTACTTTTTAAGTAAAAAACAAAGAATAACATTATATTCCTTTCTGTAGACCATATTTTGAATATTAAATGTTTTATTTTAAATGGTATTAAAAATTAACAATATTAAAAGAATAGTTTACCGAAAAATGTAAATCTGCTAAAAAATGTATTAACCCTCAGGCCAGGAGAGAAAAATGCACAGATCAAGCACTGTTTACAAGTGAAAACAGTATAAAACAATTCTAAACAAATTTGTAGGTGGATTTTGATGTAACAAAACAGCAGGGATGGACTTTCTCACTGGGGGAAGCATTATTATGAATCATGTACACATATTTTGACCAGACGTGATAGTTTTAAGTTAAAATGCCTTAATGACTGGAATTGTAAATTCACAAGACGATCGTCTGGACTTGTGTTTTATCAATTGTTTGAACTGTCATTCTGACGGCACCCACTGACTGCCGATTATTCATTTATGAGGAAATGATGTAATGCTAAATTTTTTCAAATCTGTTTTGATGAAAAAACAAACTCATCTACTTCTTGGATGACCTGAGGTAAAGTTTCAGCAAATTTTCATTTTTTGGGTGAACCAACCATAATTGTGTACATCTACAGTTTTTTGGCATTAAGTTAAAACCCTCATCCGTCCCTCGAGTCATTTTGACCCAAAACGTTTTTTCAAAAAAATTCTAAAAATCGTGTGTTGATCGTACCGGTCCAAGATGTCTTTACTTTTGTCACACTTGCACTGGCAATACACATTTTTTTTTTGAGTGGATTCGAGGAGTTTAAATGGGAGCAATAAAAAAAGTAACAAAAGTGTCCCTCGCGGTCATTTTGACCCACGTAGGAATGAATGGAATTTACGAGAAAACTGCATTTTTCATTACATTTGATTTTTTTATATATATATACAAAATCGGAGACAATCCAGTAAAGATTTATACCCAAACGAAGGGCTGAGACTACAGAATATCCCCAATGCAGAAAAAAACTCATATACACACACACACATGCACAAACACACACATGGTACACACACTCTCATAGAACACATTGTAATATTTTTCATGTTTCTGCTGGGATATGACTGTCATTTTTC